AGGCCCAAGTTCAGGGGGTCAAAGTCCTTAGAATGCTGGTTTCCCAGCTATCAGTCTGGGGGTCCATGAGCTCCCCCTTGTTCAGATCAGGTGTCTCTGAGGGTTTCTGTAGCCTGGTCTTTACTACTTTCTTATCACTCCTCCATCTCTGCAACTGAATTCCAGGAGTTCAGCTCTGCATTTAGCTGTGGTGTCTGCTTCTGTTTCCATCAGAAGCTATGAGGGCTATATGATGGCATATAAGTTAGTTATCAATCTCATTATCAGAGAAGGGCATTTAAGGTAGCCTTTCCACCGTTGCTCAGATTGTTAGTTGGGATCATTCTTGTAGGTCTCTGGACATTTCTCTACAGTCAGTTTTCTCTTCAAACCTATAGTGGCTCCCTCTACTATGGTATCTCTACTTTTTTTTTTTTTTTTTTTTTTCCTAGCCTATTCGTCCCCCGAGTCAATCTTTCTGGTCTCACATATTCTCTCCTCACCTTCTTTATCTCCTAACTCCCTCTCCACTCACTGCCCCCCCAACTCCCAATATGCTCAGGACATCTTGATCCTTTCCTCTTCTGTGAGGGAACTTATACGAATCTCTTAGATTCCTCTTTGTATCCTAGTTTTTCTGGCAGTGTGAATAATAGGCTGGTGATAGTTGCTCTATGTGAGTATATTCCATGTTCCTCCTTTTGTGACTGTGTTACCTCACTCAGGATGGTTTGTTCAAGTTCCATCCACCTACCTGCAAATTTCAAGATTTCATCACCCCCCCACACACTTAGTAGTATTCCATTGTGTAGATGTACCACATCTTCTTTATATATTTTTCATTTGAGGGGCATCTAGGTTGCTTCCAGGTTCTTGCTATTACAAATAATGCTGCTATGAACATAGTTGAACAGATGTCTTTGTTGCATAGATGTGGATCATTTGGTTATATGCCTAAGAGTGGAATTGCTGGGTCCTGTGGTAGACTGATTCCTATTTTCCTGAGGAACCACCATACTGATCTCCAAAATGACTGTACAAGTTTGCACTCCCACCAGCAGTGGAGGAGTATTCCCCTTTCTCCATATCCTCTTCAGCATAAGCTGTCATTGGTGTTTCTGATTTTAGCCATTCTGACAGGAATAAGATGGTATCTCAGAGTTGTTTTGATTTGTATTTACCTGATGGCTAAGGATGTTGAGCACTTTCTTAAGTGCCTTTCAGCCATTTTTGATTCCTCTATTGAGAATTCTCTCTTCAGTTATGTACAGCAAATGGGGTTATTTGGCATTTTGTTTACTCCTTTCTTGAGTTCTTTATATATTTTGGAGATCACCTCTCTGCCAGATGTGGGGTTGGTGAAGATCTCTTCCCAGTCTGTGGGCTGCTGTTTCATCTTGTTCATTGTGCCTTTTGCCTTACAGAAGCTCCTCAGTTTGAGGTGTCCCCATTTATTAATTTTCTATCTCAGTGTCTGTGCTACTGGAGTTATGTTCAGGAAGCGGTCTCCTGTACCAATTTGTTCAATGGTACCTTCTACTTTCTCTTCTAAGAGGTTCAGTGTGGCTGGATTTATGTTGATGTCTTTGATCCATTTGGACTTAAGTTTTGTTCATGGTGATACATTTTAACCAAGCTCTCTCTAAACCCCTTAATTACCTGTTCATGTTCTTTCTCTGCATGAAGGCAAATAGTCTGTGCTTTTAACTTGGGTTCTGCCTAATGGAAAACAATAATCACTTGGCTATTTTAAATTATAATTTAATTAAGTGCTGTATCATGGAACCAGTATATCCTGCATGGCTTATTTTCTATGGGTTTGAGGACACACTAATTTGATTGTGCTGTTTTAAAAGGTGCTGGGGGTAGAATCCAGCATCACTTCCATGACAGAGAAATGTGATGCCATAAATTTGCACAGCAGTAGATCTTCAAGGATACACTTTTTTCCTTTTCTTTTTATCTGCTTTTTCTGGGGAATATTAAGAGTGTCTGTTGTTTAGAGGGAAACGTTTGTGATTATGGTGTTTGTTCATTACTTAGTGTATGAAATGGATCACTACAACCCAGGCTCTGCTTTCTCTTTCTTGTTGGGCCTGAGTTTATTTTGACAAGAAATTTCTTCTTTATCTTAATTTCAATTGTGAAGGACCACTGTTGCAATTTAAAAAGTGATGTGCAAGAGAAAGACATTGTTCAACCAAGCTCATGTGGATAGAGAGAGAGAGAGAGAGAGAGAGAGAGAGAGAGAGAGAGAGAGAGAGAGAGAGAGAGACATTAAGATGGGAGGAGGGCAGGGTTCTTTTTAAAGGGAATATAGTGAATGTGCACAGGTGGTGCTCTTTCTTAGTGGCTGAAGCTGAGGCCATATCCTGTCAGAATCCTAAGGGCAGGCCAGTACAAATGCCTGCATACTAACAACCACTTCTTATTTCTAACTGCAGTTTCTGTCTTATCCCTGGGACCCTCAGGTGGGTGATGCATTTTCTTCCATCTATAATCATTGTATATTTCAAATAGAAAGTGGCTATCTCTCATGAGCTAGGCACAAGGATGGAATTTTGTGTATGGCTTCACGTACCACACATGTCATCTGGTATGAAATCCAGTGTTTGTCCATATATACAAACACAAGATTGGGTAGGAACACCTGAGTGCTGAACATGAAGTTGGTCAGATCATGGAAGGATTTCCAGAGTAAGCAGTATTTACACTTGGAGGAGAAATTAACTGGGAAGGGAATTAGATGGGAGAAGAAAGGAATTTGCAGTGGAAAGCACTTTGAGTAGGGACATTCTGATTTGCTATTTGTTCAGTTATGAGTTTGATTGGATAGTATGATATAGAGGGAAGGTGGGGGTAATAGCAGTAGACAAAAGGAAGAGATTAAGGAGAAACAATCAATGTTGGGAGAAATAATTTTCAAAAGTAATATATCACAAGATACCACTCAGTATGTGGTTCATTATGAATTGCTAAAGTGATTTCAATTACAGTATAAAATTTAGATCATCTCCTAAGTATATTTTATGTAACACAAATGAAATTAAATTTTAAGCTGATAACATTGACAATCTCATGTTTCTGTGTCCATATTTATATTTGTTTTATATCCACTTCATTAGAATGGTAGGGTTTGAACTATCCTCATTGTTAAACATTTATTTCATGATAAGTAGGCTTCATTAGTAGTGGGTGGAGGCATCATGCTTATTCATCTGTGAAGGGTATAAAACTTCAATTTTTCAAAAAAAAAGATAATTTTAAAGTACAAATATTCTCTTATTTTTCAAATGAGTCAGAAAATATACTTTTTTTTGTTTCTATACTCAATTTAAGCTTTTAAGTGAAAAAAATTTAAATCAACTTTACTTCTTAATTTGATCCATCAATGTAAGTTGGGGATGAAGTAAAATGTTTGAGTAAGGGAATTTAGTAACTATGTTGATTGCAAGCCTTGTTTTACATCTTAATCATTTGGCAAGTGTGTTGTGTCCTTTCATTGGTCCATTAAGCTCTGTCTGCCTCAGGTAATCAAACTTCAAAATTGATGTAGCATTTTCTGTGGATGTGGTTTATAAGAATCAATGTATTAAATATAGCTTGCAATGCTCAAATAATAGATATTAATCATTTATGAGAATTTAAGGTTACAACTGAATCTCAAATCCATCACTATTTTGGTGAATTTGAATGGGGAGAACCATAGGCAGGCATTTAGGTGCTTTAAAATATTAAAGTATGTATGTAATTTTTATCAAAGCACCTTTGAAAGAAATTACTTTGTGTCTCAAAATACTCTGTATTCCCCTTTTTTACCTTGTGAGAAATCCGGAGGAAGACTTTGCTCCTTTGACTTTTGGTACTCGTTTGCCATCACAAACACTGCCATTTTGTATTTGTGAGCAGACTTCCTACTAGACTTAGGAAGATGACAAAGTACAAGCCATTCTTCTGCTCTAAGAACGTGCAAAGGAAATAGAGAGATTAACAGAAGGATGGATCAAGAAATCAAAATTAGACAAAAGGAACACTGTCCCCTGTCCCTCTCTTCCATAAATAGGAAGTCGCCATGCACCAACTTTTGCCCATGTGGTAGAAAGAGTTGCTTTTCAACACACAGTCTTTTATTGCTTTTGTGAAATGAAATCACACTTAAGGCTCTTAAACTCTAACTGGATATAGAACATCCATTAAACTGCACTTCATGTCATTTGATCTCAGGAGATAGGTAGAGGGAGGTTCGCCTTTCATTTAAAAAATTATCATTTAAAAAGCCACTAGCTGGGATTCACCCCCTTCTCACAGCCTTTTAGCAAACACACCAATATCTGTAATGTTTTGCCAAGGTGAACAAGGAGAAAGATTAGGAAGAATGGATTGAGTGGGAGGAAAAGGGAGAGGAAATAAACGAAACTCGAATGAAATGAAGACTTGCGGTCCACTTTCTCTCTATTCTTTTTGATGTCCATTGTGGTTTGATGTTCCCTGGGCCAGCTGCATTCACTCAGGCTCCCTAGCTAGGGAGCCACTCTGTCAGCCCAGAGCCTATCCCTTTAAATGACAGCTGTAGCTCCAGTCCGGGTTCTGGGCTTGACGTCAGTGCCCCCTCCTGGGCTGAGAGTAGTTATCGCCGGCGCCGGCGCTCCTGGCTGGGGCGCGCTAGCGCAAGAGCAGACCGGGATGAGTTTTCTTTCCTCCGGCCCCGCCTCCCGCCCTCCCCTCGGAGAGCCGCGCGCAGCCCCCGAACCTCTCCAAGTCTCTCTATCACACTTGCATCCGGTCGCCCCAAAGGAGCAGCACTGCCCGCATAGCTCCATTCCTGAGCTTCTGTGCCGGATGGAGCTCGGCCGCCGCCGACGCCGCTGCTGTCCGGAACCCTGAGCCGCTCTGGGTGTCCAGAGGACCTCGCCAACCAGCCTGAGAGTGCAGAGTGCCGAGGCGCACAGCGAGGACAGGGGACTTCGAGGTTCTGGGAAGGACGCCTGGCCGCTCGCCCGAGTTACCTGGTTGGCGGCGGGGATCATGGCTCTGAAGGACACTGGCAGCGGCAGTAGCACCATCCTTCCCATCAGCGAGATGGTGTCTGCGTCCAGTTCTCCTGGTGCTCCTCTGGCCGCCGCCCCGGGGCCCTGCGCTCCGACGCTCTTCCCCGAGGTAGTGGAGCTGAATGTTGGTGGTCAGGTCTATGTGACCAAGCATTCGACGTTGCTCAGCGTCCCGGACAGCACTCTGGCCAGCATGTTCTCGCCCTCTAGTCCCCGGGGCGGCGCTCGGCGCCGGGGCGAGTTGCCCAGGGACAGCCGCGCGCGCTTCTTCATCGACCGGGACGGCTTCCTCTTTAGGTACGTTCTTGATTACCTGCGCGACAAGCAGCTGGCTCTGCCCGAGCACTTCCCTGAGAAGGAGCGGCTCCTGCGCGAGGCAGAGTTCTTTCAGCTCACTGACCTGGTCAAGCTGCTGTCGCCCAAGGTCACCAAGCAGAACTCACTCAACGATGAGGGCTGCCAGAGCGACCTGGAGGATAACGTTTCCCAGGGCAGCAGCGACGCACTGCTGCTGCGTGGGGCGGCGGCGGGCGGCGCGCCCTCGGGCTCTGGAGCGCACAATGTCAGTGGCAGCAGCAGCGCTCCGGACAAGCGCTCTGGCTTCCTCACCCTGGGCTACCGTGGCTCCTACACGACTGTGCGCGACAACCAGGCAGATGCCAAGTTCAGGCGTGTGGCGCGCATCATGGTGTGCGGGCGCATAGCCTTGGCCAAAGAGGTCTTTGGGGACACTCTTAATGAGAGTCGCGACCCGGACCGGCAGCCCGAGAAGTACACGTCCCGCTTCTACCTCAAGTTCACCTACTTGGAGCAGGCCTTCGATCGACTGTCTGAGGCAGGCTTCCACATGGTGGCTTGCAACTCCTCTGGCACCGCCGCCTTTGTCAACCAGTATCGAGACGACAAGATCTGGAGCAGTTATACCGAGTACATCTTCTTCAGTAAGTTAGCAACCTACCTACCTACCTATGCATCTCACATCCTTTCTCCCGAGTCGCAGACTTGATGTGGGAGGAGCCCTGCTGTGGCCGGGAAGGGGTGTTCCCTGCAGGATTGCCCCGGTGGAGAGCCTGCTAATGTGTTACATCAGGTCTTGCTCCAAAACCCCTTGAGCAGTGCAAACTAAACCTCCCGCCCTACCCATTCCCGGATTCAGGTTCTCTTTCTGAACTTATTGATGCTTTTCTCTTGCCCCGCCTAGCTCCAGGTTGCTCTTGACACCTTTCACTCTACAGGGTTAAGAGGAGATAGAGCACTGTGTGTGCCTATAGGCTGTCTTCCTCTTGTCTGATGAGACCTGAGTTTAAGGCAACAGTTCATTTGAGCATTCTGGCATGGAGACTGAGAAGGGAATTGCATGCCAGGATTATCTCCTGAGGTGCAGTCCCTGCCCAAGAGCTCCAGTTGCATGTGGTTTTGGAAGGGGGCTACTCAAGAGACAGTGACTATACCTCTCGAACACCTCCTCCTCGGGACTTGCACATGAGAACTGCTGGTGTAATATTTTCTCCATTATTAGTAACAAGATGGATCTGCCTTTGTTGATTACTTCCAGTGCAAATGCCCAGTGTTTTGGACTGTGGTCAGAGGGGAGAATTGAGTTTTGGCTTCTAAGTGTGTGTGTGTGTGTGTGTGTGTGTGTGTGTGTGTGTGTGTGTGTGTGTAGAGCAGAGTGTTGAATCAACTTTTCCAAGGTAAATAAATACATGACTTTCTGAAAGAGAGAAAGTCTATGGGAATTCTTCTGCAAGATGCTTTTCATGCCATGTTTCCAGAGGGGGCTCTGTTGAGTTCAAAATCTCAACCAAACTCTAAAGTCTTAATATGTAAGGGGCTATGGGTTTATCTTGAGTGGGTTTAAAATTCCAAGATGGGCAAAGTAAAACTCAAATAAGGTGACCACAGGAACATTATTTGGCTTGCATTTTTGTTTGGCAAAATACAGGAAGCGTTAAAAGTGTGTGTGTGTGTGTGTGGTGGGTAGTGGACAGCACTAAAAGCCTATAATGGAAGTAGCGTGGCTTTCACTGCGTTTGCTTTGCTAAGTAGTTCTCAATTGCAGAGCAAAATGAATAATTTTCTACACTTGACTAGAGAGGTTGGAAGGAGCCTCTCCTTACACAGGTGCGGGATTGATAAAGTGGATCTGTGGCTCAGTGAGAGGTTTTTTTTGTTTTTTGTTTTTTTTTTTTTTTTTTTTGTTTTGTTTTTTCTTTTTTGGAGGTAGAGTGACAACACATTAGTTCTGAAAGTCAGATGAACTTCTGAGATCATATTGGAGTTCCTGAGGACAGCACTTCAGCAAAGCAACAAGCAAATAAATATCCAGGGAAGTGATAAATAAAATCCAGGCCTGTTCTTTTTTATTCATCATCTATGAAGGTCTTCCTATACAGTCCACTCTGGCCTTGAATTCTCGATCCTCCTGCCTCTTCTTTCTGAATGCTGACTTCAAAGGACAGCTGCCTGCCATGCTTGGCTCATTGTCTTAATTGTATCAAAAGGTCTTTGTTACACAGTGAAAAAGACTGGTATTTGGGAAAGCTCAAAAGAGAATTAAATATTTTATTGTTTGTGTAAAATGGGTATCTCTGATATTTACATTAAGAAACTAAGGTTTTTAAAGTTACCTAAAGTACTCTATCATTGAGACACCAGGATTTTAAATATATTAAGCCTCTAAGTAATTTTGTACAGGATATCTTTCTAATTATTTAAGAAATGACATGAAATGAGCTGTTACATTTCTCATGGTTAGTGTTGTTTCTTAAAGAAGATATAAACATGAGGGCAACTAATGATTTTGTTTTTAATTGCAACACTGGGAGCCAGGATGTCAAAGGAGCAAGCTCGGAATCAAATGGTGGAGGTGGTTTTTCAGGACAGGGTCTTGCAGTGTAGGTCAGTCTGGCCTCCTGACTGCACACTGTGATTCAAGGTGCTTGTCAGCATGTCTAGCTTAAGTATGAGTGGTTTTTTTTTTTTTTTATAGCTTTAAGTTTCTTCATTCAAAAATGTCTGACAACTTTGGTCTTTCTGTTTTTCTTCCTGCTATTGTCCATTGTGAAAAGAAAATATAGTCTGTAAACTGATGTAAAACAATGCAACACAATAGCAACTTTAAGTTGGAAACTGTTACTTTAATTAAGATGATTTGAAAATAAACCTAAAATTTAGTGTCTGTTGCACATTTGGCACTAGAGGTGACAAAAATACATAACTCAAGAGTACAATTTTTACTCTTGAAGTTGTAACCCAGTCACTGATCCATCAAATATATTTGTCATTTTTCTGGGTATAAAATTTATCTTCAATACTAGTAATCACTGATTTATCTATGTTTTGAAAGGTTGCATTCTACCTACACCGATTAGTTTGAATTGAATTCCTTTCCATTGTTTGTAAGTTAAGCTATATTCTAATTTATTATTATTATTATTATTTTTCTATTTCCATTCAGTTCTGTTTGGGTAATGCCAGAATGTTATTGTTTTGCTTGACAGGTCACATGATCCAAATTGCCAGATGAGCTATTTTGTGCTTATGTTCGGATGCAGAAAAGGTCCCTTCACTTATATACCCTTCCTATCTCTTTGGCACAATTCTTTCATCAAGGTTTATATCATACACTTATTTAACGTTGTATGTCTGACATTTTTACAAATCTTTTGAATTGAGGTTGCTGATGAACTTACTGGTTTGATACTGCTCTAAAAGTGATAAAGCAGCAGTTAAATATAGGGTCATCTAATTTAGCACTCACTATTAATCCTAGATTTCTGAAGAATGGATGAAGATGACAGATGATTCTGTAATCCCAGACACTTCCATTTACTAAATGTGGGTATGGACCAAATTATTTACTTGTTTGTGTCTTAGTTAACCCCACCTATGTAATGGAGGTTGTCATACTTCTAGTTTGATGGAGTTTGACAGTCCATGTGAAGTACTTCTTACATCAAATTTGACTCAACATGTGATTATTTGGTACTGTTCTTTAATTTATTATTTTGTCAACAGTAAGCTTTTATTTTTTTTTACAGGAAGCATAGTGAATTAAGTGGTCAATTAGAAGATTAATTTAGAGAACAGCACACCAAATTTTCATACATTTGCACTAAGTATTTAAATACTGCTTTCCTGGAAACTTTAATATTTCAGGCTAAGTCACCTAGATGTTCCCAACATATTTCAGTTTGTCTGGATCAAATCCAGCTCCACTCAATTCTTATTCAGGGCTAAGAAGTGTTTTAGTACTCCTTGCTAGGACCTGAAAGTTCAGCAATGTTTTTCTTATAAATGCCAATCTTGTATTTCTGATACTGAGATCAGATCCTCAAGACTATAGAAAGCTATTAGACATTAAATACCAGCCTCTTTTTGGTTTACAATGACACTTTCACCTGTTCTCACCCTTAAATAATTGTTTACAAAGGCTTTTAAACATAATAGTACATATACCGTTGTGATTAAATTTCTTATTACTTCTCAAATACTGAAGACAGCTTAGCCTATCTTGGGAAAAACAGAATGATTAATTGGGTTTTCTGCATTGGTGTGTGTGTGGCGGGGGAGGTGTTTGGTAAATGGAATAGTAGCTTTTATAATCAGCAAGGCAGCACCAAAGGTGTACTAAAAAGACTGTAGAGAAGTGTATGATGGAGACTTTAAAATAGCATTATATGTTTTCTCTACTCCTCACAGTGTGGATGGTACACATATATTCTTTTCTTTGTATCAGTTCTTCAAGTTCTGGACTCCTGGTGTTGCTTGAGCTGGAAATGTCATAGGTAGGTAGTTTCAACAATAAAGGAGAGAGAAAGTGGCACATCATCAGAATGCAGAAATTTGTGATGCTGTGTGGTATAATCCTGGCTGCTATATAAGGGCTCTGAACACTTATTTGTGGCATAGTTATCTCTCTAAAGTTATCTTCTTCACACTTCGAGGGCTTTTACTTCCTGCTTTTCTGTCCCCAAATAAACCTGTAGTAAAAGGAAGGATTACTACACACTTGGTTGTGTAATGGGTGCTTTATACACAGTACTTCCAGAACTATACACTTGGTTATGTGATGAGTATTTTATACATAGTACTTCTTGTAACATTCCTTGAGCTGGACATTGGCCTCAGTAAGAACACTGCTGTGGAGAGGCCAGCTAACACCCAAGGTTAGTTCTGTACTGGAAACATTTAAAACACTCAAATAAGAAAACATATTTCAGTGTTTAGTGAGTTCTCAGAACTTCAGTCTTTAAGTACAAAAAGTTTGGTGTGAAGTGCTGACATGTGTGGCAGTAATAATTTTTAGGTTGTGCAGGAGTTCCTTAAAATACAGTGAACATGTATTTTGTGTCTTTTACTTGCTGAAAGGTTTATTTTATTTATTAAGAGAATATATATGTGTGTAATGTTCTTAAAATTAAAGAAACATATTTTCCTTTCATTAAACTATGGGGGCAGCAATGCCAACATTTCTAAACCAGTATTATCTACATGTTTGACAAACCACATTTTCAAATAGTGATCAATTAAAAAAATTAATTTTTACCTATGTAATTACAACACACTTTCCTAGAAAGTGGCAGAATGAATTATGTGTTAATTATATAGATGCCTCTTGGTTTTAAATCCTGGATAATCCCATTAAAATATGTATTTTGTATAATTAGATTAAAAATGCTCCAAATACATGCTGGTTATCCATAGTAGCTTTCAGTCATTTTGAAGTCTGAAACATGGAGCTACATCAAGAATCTGAACTTCTTTGAAAACAGTGTTTCAAATTAACCTTAACTGTGGTTTAAATACAGACAGAATTTTTGAGACCCTCTTTCATTTTCTTCACAGTATTTGTTCCACATAGCAACCAGGAGACTACAAGGCAGGCTGATAGCTCCTTTAATCCAGGGTAATATTTTTAATAGTGAAAGGTGACAATTTCAAAAGTCTTGTGAAACTCAAGTAGTTTCATTTGTAGGATTTTGTCACTCTGACAGAGTATGC